TGGAAGTGGCGCTGTGGCTCAAGTGGTAGAGCGCTAGCCTTGAGCTGAAGAGCTGAGGGACAGCGCCCAGGCCCAGAGTTCAAGCCCCATGACTGGAAGAAAAAAAAAGGCAATAACAAACTTGACCAAGTGGTATGCAGCTTTTGGGGTGTCGGGAAGTGGTTGGGGGCAGGGCTGGAACCTAGTGGGAATAAGGCTTCCCATAACGCCCTGGGATCCTCAATCCCAACATCTCAAGTTCCTTAATGTCCCATCCAGCTTTCTGTCCACTTCTAACGAAGCTGTGTATAAGATTTTCGATGACGCCTCCTGTCCACTTGTTGGGAAAACCTGTAACCCTCAGGTGGGTGTCACTAGAGAGGTGAGGGTCGCTATTGCCCGGACCCCTGGGTGTTTCCAAATCTCTTGTCCCACCTGGAGGTTATTCGGCAAATCATAGGCTGGTGTTACAGGAGTGTGCTACCCTACCCACCCCTGCTACTAGACCTTTTTCTTGATCCATTTGATAGCCTCTCCTGCTTCTAGTACCCCTTAGGTGCATTCTACAAGTCGTTCTCCTGAGCCCTCAATTCTGTGACTTCAGTGTGATTCCTCCCCTCATCCCCCAGTGAATTTCTGGTCCCTGTATTCTCACTTGGTACCGTGTCCCTCCCCAGAACTTCCCCTCCTTGAATGAGTCGCGTCTCTGTCCCAATGGGCGCTGCCAGTTCGCCTTCTATGGTGGTGAGTCCGGCTATCACCGTGCTCTGCTGGGGCTGCAGATCTTCAATGCCTTCATGTTCTTCTGGCTGGCCAACTTTGTGCTAGCGCTGGGTCAGGTCACCCTGGCAGGGGCCTTTGCCTCCTACTACTGGGCCCTGCGGAAGCCAGATGACATGCCTGCCTTCCCGCTCTTTTCTGCCTTTGGCCGGGCGCTCAGGTAAGACAGGGAGCTGACAGGAGGGGGTTGGGTGAGTTTTCTGGCTCCACCCTTGACCCCCCGGCCTCGGATTCATCGCAGGTATCACACGGGATCGCTGGCGTTTGGTGCCCTCATTCTGGCCATTGTGCAGATCATCCGAGTGCTGCTTGAGTATTTGGATCAACGCCTGAAAGGTGTGGACCCACTGGCTCTCACGGGGGGGGGGGGGGGGG